TTTTTTTTTCTCAAAACTAAAGCTCAGATATACTGCACATCCTAAGAAAGTGCAATTCTGCATTAGCAGTTCTACAGAAAAGCGTTGCAGATGTTTCTGACCACGACGCTCGAAGTATAAGTAAATTAGATGATAAGTCAAAATCTCCTCCGTATTCGCTTCCAGTAAGAGACGGATGCATTCAGGAAGCAGCCTGAGTCTTTCCTGAGCTTCTTCAGAGGCAAAGCTGATGAGAGATCACAATTATGAGCTAAGAATTGTTTTTCTAAGTACCTCTTCCCCCTTCTAGCAAACGTGGCTTGTGGCCTGAGTGCAGAAATTTTTTCACTTCTACCAGCAACTGCACGCTAGAAAGAATTCTTTGCAAGTTACCTAAAGTCTCTCTGAATCCCAACAACAATCTGTCAGCATCGATTATCACAGAACTGTAAATGGAATGTAATTTGACATATCTAGCAACGTTTTAAACCAATCTGTTGTTAGGACGGGGCACAATTCCCGCGACCCAGCAGTCTTGGATCACCCGGACTGTTAGATGTTGGAGAGACGAGTATGACTGCATTTCGACAATTATACATTAAGATGCTGCTGTCTTTTTGGTCGAAAACAGATGCAGCAACAACAGCAGCAGAAGCAGCACATCGCAAATGCCAGCAAAATGTAGCCCAGTGTTACGAACACAAACGAAAATACATAAGTGAACTGGTCGCAGTAATCAAACGCATACGGATTCGAGTACTGCAAATCATCGTACACCGAATAGATCCACACAGATCCTGAAAATGACAAACACTTTTAAAGAATACCACTGCTAAATTCGCGAACAATTACTTTCACTTACATCCTGATAGCTTGCAACAACATCACACTGCCCATAAAGCTGGCAACTTTTGAGCAGTGGTGCCACACTGCCCGATGGTCAGCCTAATGACAATCCTAACACTGGTTCCCTCTCCTGAAAGCATTACCATCCCAACGATTCTCACGAAAGCAACTGCCAGGGATCTAGTCATCCGGGATATCCTTGGTGTATGCTGAACATCGTCTAGGATGAAAAAGACTGTAGGAGAGGGACGGGCGAGAAGGTTAGTGGAGAGGGCAATCGATCTCAATTCTCACTTGGCAACGCTCAATTTCCACTTAGAAGTAACATTCAGCAGTACTAAAAGATTCAAGCCGGAAGTATTTTCAGGAAAATTTGGACTTCTCGATTCTCATGCAGGAAAAAAGCTAACAAAATATTTGGTCCAGAGAATGAATGCAGCGAATTTCACTTACCAATGACGAACCAAACAAGCAGAAAACAGGAGAGCAGGCCATCAAACGGATTTGGATTGACATCTGCTGCTGATGGTGGACGTCCTTCACGCTGTCGTTTGGCTCGATAATAAAAATTGGTGGCGCTCTTCAGCAATGAAAATAAGCCCGTAACTATTAGCCAGACTGGGATGTACGGCTCCACCGGACAGTCGTTCAGATTGCTGCTGCCAAGAATGATCATTCCCAGCGGGATGATGTTCAAAAGAGCCAGAAGTACGGCTGCTGTCACTGAAAAAAAGAAAAAGAGAAACATCACTTCTTCATCTCAAGTAGCCCCCTCCACTCTTCCCTCGTCCGATGAACACTGCTTGTGCGGTCACAAGAAGACGCTGTGTAAGCAAATTTCGCCTCCTCGCTCTCTCCGTCACAGCTACCGCTCGTTCTTTTGCTTTCGTCAACGACACGCTTCACTTGCACTGGCAATCGACGAAAAATTATAAAAAAAATTTACTTGTACTAATAATCACAGCAAATGCTTTGGCAATAAACTGAGCCAATCCTTTCGGATCTTCCACCTGTCGAAATTCACCGTACAGTGATTCATAAGTGGGCGGTAAACCTAAAAATTAAGCGAACAGTGAAAAGACAAATTTGTACCCAATTTATTACTGGCTGACATATCGCAACAACCAGTGGCGCCTTTCTTATGCCGACGGTCTAAGAATGTTTGGCACACGCCAGCAGTGGCGTGATCAGTCCCTCTACGATTCGTTCATTCGTTTCGATGGCAAAAATTGGTACCAGCACTCATCAAAGAGTGGCAAATGCCATCAGAATGCTTATAAGGAGCTCAAAAAAGGCAATTGTCGACAAGTGAAAATTATCAACATCCCCATCAGTGGGCAGTAGCTGTTGTTACTTGCTTCCTTCTCACCCCATTTGGGTTTCTTCCTCGTGTCCATGGGTCTTGGAAGGAGTGAATGTGGAGGGGGTTTTGACTGAAATTTTCATTTTTTCGCTTTTTGCTGGTAAAATTCACAGTAATTTTTTTCTTGCCCTTTTAAAAACACAGGCATTCGTTGAATAAAGAGAGTGAAGGAGAATTCCTTCTTACTCTCGGACAAAAAAGTAGCCACTGGCAGTGAAAGAAAGAAAA